GAAGTCGTTAACAAATTGAGCCAAATGTTCAAGTTCATGCTCGGGTGGATCAACAAATGACCCAGACCGACCTCGTTTTGAATTACATTTGAGTGACACAATTAAGCCCCTGTTTGACAGAATTTCTTTTGGAAAGTATGAGTTTTTGAATAGTAATTTTGTGGAGAATGTGTGTTTAAAAAGTAGGGAAAAGTTTTGGGTTTTTGTGAATTATATTATTATGAGAATTTGTGGTTGAAAATGAGTATGAGAGAAAAATGAGTTTGAAAAGAATGGTTGTCAAATAGGGGTTAACTATTGAACCAAGCCATGCTCAATCTTGGACTCCAGCCTAAAACTATTGAAATTTTTAAAGAAATAATAATATAATCATTTTTTAAGTGCAAAATAAATTAGTCAAAATTTCAAATTTAGATAATATACGAGTATGATGCATATTATGGTTGTGGTAATTAAGTATATATTATTCCCCAAGCTTAGTCAAGCTGATCTGACCTGACCTGTTCAGTATATGAGGTTAAAACCAAGTTCTAGCTCAGCTAGCATGATTAGGTAAATAAACAAGGCACTGCGTTAGTGTCTAAACTCATTATATTCCCGCTACACCACCAAAACACAACACATATTCCATTTCTAAAGCCTCAGTGCATTTTGCAGGAACTCGATGAGAATGTCAAGGAAAAACTTTCCCGTTTTTGCCATGTTCCGGTATTATAAGTTGACCAAAGTTGGAATGTCTTTATATTTTTTTGTTTCATAAATAAAATAAAATGAGGTGCTGATATATTTCCCTTGCCCTCCAGTTAGAGAATATCATCACCCTCTTTGATGTTTCCAACATTTGGCATGTGCCTTTGCTTTTGCGAGTAAGTATTCATGCTCTGATTTGATATAATTCTACATTTTTGTTAACAGTGCTGTGATATCTGTTCTTCTTCCTATTTAGGACCAGAAGGCTCATGAGGCAATTTTGAGAGCCTTGAAGCTCAAAAAGTTAGTGAAAAATTCTACGGTCTTTTCTTTTGTCATTCTTTTAGGAGTTTGTTACTATTGTTTCTATTAATTCTTGCCATTGATGTGAATTTATCTTATTGTATTATGCTGTAGTGATGGTCTCAAACCTGCTTTGGGAGAATGGACATCTAGGGCTCGTCTCTGTGATATGTTGCATGAGCCTGTAGGTTCTCATCATTTCCGAATTTGGACATAATACTTTTTTTTCCCACAACAATTTCAAATTTTTTTTTTGTTTGTTTACAGGTCAGAATTGCCATGGTTGGAAAGTACACTGGCCTTACAGATTCTTACCTCTCTGTGCTGAAGGTGAACTTATTGTGTCAGTTGTACTTTCAACTTAGTTTTAATTACTATGAACGTGCGGCTTGCTGTAACTTATGCATATAAAAGTTAAAACCCTAACTGAATTCGTATTTGTACTTTATTTTCTTCTGTATATAAAGGTTAGAACTTTGACATTGTAATACTTCCTAAATATGTTAATACATGGGAAGTTAGTTTTCTTATAGACCATATCACGGCATTATGATTATCCTTGTTTTTTATGCCCAGTGATACACATGCTGTGGGATTTAGAAAGGCTGTAACTTATAAAAATTTAAGATGTATTATTTGCGTAAAGTATTTTATTTTATTAGCCGCACTTGGCAGGAAAATGGAGGCTTTTAGAAACCATCTGTGCAGTATGATAGCGACTTTTCTCTGCCAGAATCCTCCAAAATAACAAAAAGCAGCTTTGTGGGCCCACATTACTTGTTGTTTTAAATGATCTATACCACGGTTCTGTCACCACAACCGTGCAATATATGTGATCTGGCGATGTCTTCACAATGTGCCAATATCTTCTTTTGATTGATCCATTGTGGCAAGGCCTGCTTAGAATTTATGGGACCTTTAATAGTCCTTTTTTTGGTGGGGTGGGGTGGGTTGGGTGTAGTTTGATATTTTAAATAAATGGTGGCATTGATACATTTAATTTTCTTAATACAAGTGATATCTTGCTATTTATTGTTCGGATGGTTTTCAGAGATCATAGTATGTTATTTTGAAGAGCCAAATGTTTTGAAGAGCTGGCATGCACCAGCAGATTATGGCCAATGCTCATGCTATAGTCGTTGAATATGCTTGTAAACTGTACAGCACCAGTTTAAGAAAGATAACCTAGTTACTTATAGAGGTCATCGAATAGGAGTACATATCTTAAATTGAAAATAATTTGAAGACAGTCTATCACAGATGTAGATGTGTGTATGTACATATAACTCTACCAGTGTAAATATGTACGTAAAAGTGGCGACTCACAAACAGAGACAATTTTGCTGCATTTGAGCAGTTCCCTAAGTATTATACTTCAGCTTCGACTTATTATTTCATTCCGAAAACAGTGGGGTATTTTGGAATCTATAATGTGCCAAATACACAATTTATTTTCTTATTGCCAGATTGTTTGCTAACCTCTAAAGTGGTCTTTTTCATGATGTTTATTCACAAAATTGATCAATCAGGGTTATTGTATTGGTAATTTTCTTCAAATACAATGAGCTTGTTTATATAATTGACTCAAGATAGCTTATATAATATGATTTAACTTTCTCGTTTTTGGGTGTAGTTTTTGATTCTGCTGCTAATGTCCAAGCTTTTATTAAAGTCCTTACTTTTCAATATTATTTTTTTCTGCACTAAACCACTAAACCAAGTTAAACAAACTTAGAGTTGGATGTGATTAATTTTACTGGTGTCCTGTGTTTCTGGGTGGACAGCGTACAATAAATTCACAACCACTTCTTATCTGGTTTTGACATCTGTGAACATAGTTGGATCTAATTAATTTTGCTGGTGGATTTTCTGAACGGGCAGCATATAATTATGTCAATCGGTTATGTATTGCTGGTGGGTTGGCATTCGCTTCCTTGTGATAGTTGTAGATGATAGACTTTCCTGAATTCCTATGTCATTTTAATATGTGCAAGGATGAGTCAGAGATGGTTCTTAGTGATAGCTATTATAACTAATTCATAGTTCACAAACACTGTTGCAGGCTCTTTTGCATGCTTCTGTTGCTTGCCATAAAAAATTATGTATTAATTGGGTTCCATCCAGTGACCTTGAAGATGCCACTGCAAAAGAGGTTATTTTTGTACTGTTATCATTTATTATATTTCAGTACACAGTATCTCACAATGTCCGAAATTTCCGTCTTGCAGAATCCCGATGCCTATAAAAGCGCTTGGAAATTGTTGAAGGTCTGCATTGCTTACACTTCAGTATTCATGCAACCACTAATATATGCTACTTTTTTACATTTCTAATTGCATGTCATAATTATTCCTTCTGACATATCCTTGCCTTATAGGGGGCTGATGGTGTATTAGTTCCAGGAGGATTTGGTGACAGAGGGGTGGAGGGTAAAATTCTTGCAGCAAAGTACGCCCGTGAAAACAGGATCCCTTACTTTGGAATATGTCTAGGAATGCAAATAGCTGTCGTTGAGTTTGCACGATCTGTCCTTGGACTACGAGATGCAAACAGCACTGAGTTTGACCCAGACACTCAAAACCCTTGTGTTATATTTATGCCAGAGGTTCAGTATTCTAGTATTTTCGTTTGCGGAATATGACCCATCTATTTGTACGATATAAGTTTGATTAAACCACTTATTCTCACATTTATTTTAATAGGGTTCAAAAACCCATATGGGAGGCACCATGCGCCTTGGATCAAGGAGGACATACTTTCAGAGTACCTCAAGTACATCTGCTAAGCTGTAAGTCTATAAATTTTTGGCCTTTCAAGTAATCCTGGCCTATGAATAAAAAGGTGAAGAAAAGATTGAAACAATCTTTGTACACTGTATCAGATACACAAGCTTCTTTGCACAAACAGGTTTTTCTTGTAAATTACATGGAGTGGAGCCATGACATGGGGCAGGATGGGGTGTCTTGGATCAATACGCAATGGTTAGGAACATTAGTGGACTGAATGAGAATTGACTTGAATCCTGTCTGGTTAGAGAGTGGCCCTTGGTAATATACCAATCTTTCAGAACTAACATAAACCAAGAACTATAGGATGCTTCCTAAAATGTAACATGTCCAAGAATCCCTGTCATTTGTACCTTCCTGCATTTTTCTGAAATGTGGTGTTTATAGGCATTTGTGAACATTGAAGCAATTACAAAGCAGGATATACCATCCGCTTACTACTGCAACCTAAGTAACTCTGGTGTCTATTGTCCTTGTACACTTAAATACACAATTGCTTGTTCACTGAGCACAATGTTGGGAACTCACAGAAAGTATACTGCTGATATGCTGAACTAAACCTGTAATATCTAACTCGAAAATGAATTGATATTTGTCAGATATGGCAGCAAGAGCTTTATTGACGAGAGACATAGACACAGATATGAGGTGTGTAGAAACACCATGCTCTGGACATAATTTTCCGCATTTTCTAATATAAAGAAATTTCTGTTCCAGATAGGTGTTCTATCTTAACAGCAGTTCCATAAGGGTTCATTTTAAAAGAAAGTTTGATCTTTTCTAGGTAAATCCGGATATGGTTCAGCAACTTGAAGATGCCGGTCTCTCATTTACCGGCAAAGATGAAACTGGTGATCGCATGGAGGTAGTTCTTTCATAATGTCACTGTACTTTCTAATTATGATTGTGCTTTTTTGCGTTTCTACCGTTCGTGGAGGTAATTTTGCTTTTCTACCGTTCGTGGAGGTAATTTTGCTTGTCATTGCAGATCATCGAGCTGCCCAGTCATCCTTACTTTATTGGCGTTCAGTTTCACCCTGAGTTTAAATCAAAACCATGGAAGCCATCTGCTCTTTTCTTAGGTACTTTTTATTGCCATCTCAAGTTTCTGAGCATTAAAATTTTGCAATCTGGAAGTCCAGGGTATTTATCCTCCATAAACTTATAGTTCCTTCTTTTCTGACACAATGAAGTTAAAAGAGTCTGCAGAAAGTAGATGCAATTTGACTTATTTTGTCCTGGTAATGATGATTTTAGTGGCCATACCATAGATTTTAGAATCGTCATAAGGCTACAAGGAACAATATAATTTGAGATGTAATTGAATTACTCATTGTTTTTAAATTTTCATTTGCTTTTTGGAAAATGAGCTGACTGATTGTGGTTCTTTTTACATGCAATTCCCTAGATATTGAGAAAGGATTTGTAGGTTTTTTTGTCAGTTCGTGTACATTGATTTTACTTGATGGATGGCGATTATCCTTGATATAATATTGTTTTCACAACAGGACTTGTAGCAGCAGCATGTGGCCAGCTTGATACTCTTTTGAAGAAAGGTGTGACAAAGCCAAGCAGAAGCAATGGTACCTCAGCAATAAAAGCACACCTATACGAGAATGCAACTAAGCTACCCAATGGCTCTTTAGATGTCATTTACTGCAACGGGAATGGTTTACATGTTTGAATGATGAGTAGCTTGTGGAGCTTTGTGTCGAATCATATCTTATGTGCTCGTTTTTGTGGGTGTGATTTATCAATTTTGCTCCTAAAATTTCTTCGTGTATAGGCATTACTAGTTTGGTAGGAGTTATAGCTTCTCATATTGCCATGTCCATGGGTGCAGCTGAATTCCGGTCTTTTTAATGGATCAGGCTGCTGTAGTTGCAGTGCAATGTCATGGGAAATGGGTCGAGCTAGGTTTATTTTTGACGGACTAATTATTGATTACTGACCCTCTTGTGTGAGAGGTCTGCAATCCCATGGCTGAGGGATTATTAGCATGCTCAGATTGTATAGACATGCATTGTGTAATCAGTCAGTTGAAACAAAACAAAGGTTAGCTGAACCACGAGTTATTACTTTTGTGAAAAGTAATGAGTAATGGCTGGATTATTCTTGTTTGCTCAAGTTGAAATCAAGAATACATTGATCTTGTTGAATCTTTCTTTTAAACGAACTGATATAGTTGTCTGAAGTATCTTACTTTTTGCCACATGGTGTCAAACTTCTTCCTGATGAATTTTGGCTTCCAAAAGCACTCTGACACAAAAATAGATGGAATTTGTTGTGGGGCCATGGCTAGCAAAGATGACGCTGTATATATGAATTGTGAACGTGTGGAAGGTACCAAAATCGGCTTTATTTGCAAAAAGAGTAACTCCTTATTTATAGACGAATTTGAGCAGTTAAATGGGACACATTGCATCGACAAGAAGGTTTTAGCTTTGGTGGGATGAGATACCATGAGTTGCTGTAAAGTAAAAAGGAAAGAGGAGCGGGAGTGAAGACTCGTCCTAATAATACTTGAGTAATGGTTCTTTCTATTTCGAGTTGGCCCGTGTGCTGAAGAGGTATTTGTGTTCAGATGACAGTTCAAGATCAGCCTAATGAAAACTTTATATTTCCTGATGAGTAGGTTCTATCAAGTGATAAAGCTCTTTAATGAAATTTTGATTGTGTCGAGGTGCGCGTAAAAAAATTGATCGCGATAAAAAAACCACTGATGTTGCTTGGTGGGCTGGGATTGCTCAACTCATTAATTTATCATGTTAGAATAGAATCTTAATTTAAGAATAGTGGAGAGCACGTGGAGAATAGTCTTAACTTGCATGGTCATCCTTCACAAATTCATTATACACATTACATTACACATAAATATAAGCAAACAATACCCAAAAAAGAAAAGAAAAAAATCCTATAAAAAAAATTAAAATCACACTAACAGAGAAAAAGAAAAGTAAGCAATAATGAAGATAAGATGTGGTGGTTCTCTTCACAAGCACATGCATTCATGGACCCAACACATGACCTTGCCATTTCTTGCACATGTTCTCTGTCTTCCACCAAAGCTCTCCCACCTTTATTCCTTCCTCCCTAATGCATTTTAATTTTCACAATTATCATTCCATGTCATTAATTATAAGCTAATCAACACTCCATCAAACCTATAATCCAAACGGGTCGACTATGTTAGGCAATCAACTAATTAATCAGTTTTTGGTATCAATTAATTATAAAAAACACGAAATTCAATCTCGAGCCCAACGTGATCATAGAAGGGTTGATGCTTGAGCAACTTGAACACAATGACGATGTCGTGGACAGGTGACTAAGTGGTCATTTGAGAGGCCAGCAGCCTGCATGAACGAGTGTATCACGGTTGGACCGACTAAGCGGAAACCCCTTCTGATCATGTCCTTGCTTATGGATTCCGATTTCGAAGTCTTCACTGGGATCTTGTGGCATGATTTATACTTTGTTGCTATGGGTTTGTTGTTCACAAATCTCCACACATATTTCTCAAATGATCCGAATTCTTTTTTTATCTGCAAATATTAAACATTCATATTTTGAATCAGGAGAAGTCATTCATTTCATTAATGTCCTGAAAGCAACATTAATTAATTTGTTAATGATTTATTTGTTACATGGTCCCATATGGCATGTTATATTTCTATTAATTAACAATCATTATAATACAATTGAAAATGTCTGTCTTGCTATTTACTAACAAAAGCTGATGTAGTGAGACGTATATATGATTGTATAATTGCAATGCTAACCTCAAGAATTCGGTTAGCGTTGTCAATCACGCCTCGGACTTGGCTCAAGTTTATATTATAACTAGTAGCGATTGAATTTATCTTCTTTTCGGAAAATTTTGAAACAATTTCTGCATCAAATCCTGAAAATGCATCCCTGGAATTGGATATAAAATGCAATCAGATACAACAAAAATGACTGATATGAAATTTTTGTTCTAATAATCTTGATTAAGAAGGCCCCTCACTTGAGGTCTTGTCTTTTCTTTAAAACTGAAGTCCAATCTGATCCAACTTGTGCACCAATTAACACCAACAATTCAAACAGCAGCCTGCAATTAATGCATACAGAAAGAGATAAAAAAAAAAAAAAAAAAAAAACCCATATTTAAAATATCTGTGTTTATACTTGTCTAAATTTGCTATTCCGAACTTCTTGTCCCCACAATCCATTTTTGACCCTTCAAAATATTACTTTTCTTGCCAAATGGAAAAAAAAAAAAAAAAAAAAAAAAAAAAAAAAAAAAACCCATATTTAAAATATCTGTGTTTATACTTGTCTAAATTTGCTATTCCGAACTTCTTGTCCCCACAATCCATTTTTGACCCTTCAAAATATTACTTTTCTTGCCAAATGGAGTTAACATATCAATGTGTTGAAGTGTTAAAAATGTATTAAGAGACAGCCAATGTAGCAGTAAGTTCGGGACGATACTGCTAATCCAGCAAAAAGAAAAATGAAGAGAAAGAACCTACTTATCATCGTGGACAGGTACTCCCCATTCTTCATCGTGGTAAGCAACATAGATTGGGTCTATACCACCGGAGAAAAAATGAAATTAGTAACCAGATAGAATAATGCTATCTATAGGTGGCAAGTATTTATTGATATGTCAATCTTAAACATTAGGATATAGCTTTGATTACCTGAATTTGGAGTGATGAAGGTACATGGCTTTTCTTGATCTCGAGTAGCATTATTAGCAAGCAAAGATGAATGATGATGATGTTGAAGATAAGGAACAGCCTTCTTAATTGATTTAGTTCTTCCATAATGCGCGATACGCATTTTTCTTTGCTTTTGCATAATTGCAACATGTTCTCGTCTAGCTGCCGCTATGCTTCCAGGTGCATCGACTATGAGGGACCTGGAAGTGCATTTCGATGAGCAGTTATCGCCAGGTTGTCGGCTACCTGATGATTTCTTGGACTTCTTCACTACTGTTGCACTAGAAGCTTTAGTATTGGAGGATTTTGGTGTCAAGATCAGCTTTTCAACGCTCGAGTTCAAAACATTTGAATCGTTACTTCTCTTGATAGCGGGCGGTCTTGGTGATTTCAGCTTAGGAGATAGCGGAGGAGTGGCTGTCGATGAGGGCGGCCTAACTTTGACTGCAGTCGTCTTTTTTAGCAGCGAGTTTGGTCTTTCCAATAAAGGAACATGATTAATGTTGGGTTGAAGAACCCGTCGCTTATTAAGACGAGTTGGCGAGATGACACCATCGCCATTACAATTGTCTTGCAATCTAGACTTTGAGCTACACATCCTCTTTGGCGCAGCAATCTATCGAAAGAAAAAACTTAAGCCAAGGAGACAGAGAAATGAGGATCGACAAGGCAATGAAAAAGGGGTAAAGGACTTAATTAAGAATGGATGGATAAATGATCCATATATAAAAGGGATTGTGGAAGTGGTCACATGGAGGGGTCAGCCATATACATGCACTAAGACGTGTACCCTCTTGTCAAAGTCTCTATTTAAGGAATTTAGCTCATGTTTGGTAAAAATTAAAATTCAGATTTTAATTCAAATTAGAGTTAATAATTAATTTCAACCAAATTTTATGAGATTCATAACTTTTCATTCAAACATTTCATCAACTTTTATCAAAATCTATTAAAAATCTGATTTTAATCCTCACTGAACTTAAAATATTGTAGTTTACGTATATATACAGAAATGATCTCTTAAACACCGGTACTTAGTTTATATTAAGAACCGATAATATGACACATTATTTAATTGGTGAATTCACGTCATCGGTGTGATCATTTCCGTATATGTATATATATCTTAAACATATGATTAATCATGTATA